TATATATCACTGAATTCTCATAGGAATACAAAATGATCACAGATAAACAACCGAAGGCTATATCTCAAGCTTCTAGAAAAAGAATAGCAAGTAAAGATCAATTCTCAAAGAAGGGAGGTTATTAAAAAGATCAGAGCATAAATGAATAAAACAGACACTGAGAAATACAATAAAAAGTTAATGAATCAGATATTGTTCTTTGAAACAATAAAAAAAATTGATAAACAACTAGCCAACATTACCAAGGAAAGAAAAACTAAAATTCATGCAAAGAGAAATAAAAAGTGTAGAATTAACAGAGATCCTGTGGAAATTCAGAAAATCTTTAACACTTACTTTAAAAATCTTTACTTGCATAGAAGAGACAATGCAAAGGAAATGGACAAATTCCAAGAAAGTATGAATTACCAAAGCTGAATCAAGAATATATAAAAATTTTGAGAAACCAAGTATCTGTTTACAGAGATTGAAATTGTAATTAAAAACTTACCAACTCAGAAAAGTCCAGGTTTGATGGATTAATAACTGAATTCTAAAAGAAATTTAATAACGATTAAATACACCTCAAACTCTGTAATAACACTAAAAATGAAGTAATTCTCCTGAGCCATTCCTTGAAGCATGTATTATTCAGGGAATTCAGGGATGCAGGGATGGCTAAAAATATGCAAACCAAAAACATAATACACTACATCAACAGAGCCAAAGACAAAAAATCACAGGGTCATCTTAATAGATGCAGAAAAATCTTATGATAAACTCCAACACTTATTCATATAGAAAACAGTAATAGATGATTGCTACCGCAATTTGACGAAGGCATATATGACAAACCACAGTAAACACCCTAATAAATGGACAAAACCTGAAATCTTTTGCTCTTAAATCATGAGCAATTCAGAATGTCCACTAGCAGTATTCCTATTCAATACAGCTCTGGAAATGTTAGCCAGAGAAATTGGACAAGAGAGAGAAATAAAAGGAGTAAGTATAGGAAAGAAAGAAGATAAGTTATCATTCTTGGTAGATGACTTGGTAGTCTACAAAGAAAACCAGCAAAAAACAAATAAATTTAATAAACAAATTCTACTGTGTAGCTGAATACAAAGTCAGCATTTAAATATCAATAGCATTCTTACACAAAAACTAATTCACTGAGATAGAACTTATGAACTTATGAAACTTTTATAATAGGATCCAAAAAAAAAAAAAATGAAATTCTTAGGAATCAATCTCACAAAGAGTGTAAAAGATCTCTATAGTGAAAACTACAGTACTCTGCAAAAGGATCTTGCAGGTACTGTCAGAAAATGTAAAGATATTCCTTTCACTGGATAGGAATAAACAACATTATGAAAATGAGCATATCGAAGAAACTGTCTACCGATTTAGTGCAACCCCAAACAAAATGCCATTAGAATATTCACAGATCTAGTGAAATAATTATTAAAATTCATTGGAATGCAAAAGAGATCTGGAATAGAAAAGACCTTTCTGGTCAACGAAGGCAAGCCAGGAAACATGACAATCCTAGGCTTAAAATTGTGCTACAAAGTTAATGTGATAAAATCAGATTGTTATGAGTAAAAGACAAAGTAAAAAATATACCTGAGGATCAGTGGAACAGACTAGAAGATGCAGACACAATTACAAACATATTCAGCCACCTTATCTTTGATAAAGCATTCAGATGTATTCACTAAAAGAAAGATAGCCTCTTGAATAAATGGTGATGGAAAAATTGGCTTTCCACATGCCTAAGACTATAACTGGACCCATGTCTGTCACCATGCACTAAACTAAAACCGAAATATATCAAAGGTCTAAATATTAAAAGAGAAACACTAAATATACTGGAATACAAGGTACATCGAAATCTGTAAGACACAGGGGTAGGCAAAGAGTTCATAAACAAAGAGCAAACTGCATGTGAATTACTCTAATGAATCAACAATTGTGATCTCATTTTATTAAAATGATTTTTTGCTTCAAAAGAAATCACCTATATAGTAAAAACCCCTCACAGAATATGAAAGAATTTTATCCAACTGTCAATCAGATAAATGGTTTTTAGCTAGAATATAGAGAGATGTAATAAGACACCCCCAAATTCAATGGCTAAATCCAAAACTGGACATCTGAGATGAATACACACTTCTTAAATGAAGATATACAAATGGCAAATAAATGTATGAAGAAATGTACAATGTCACTGGTCATTTGAGAAATGCAAACTAAAACAACAATGAGATTCCATCTCACTTCAGAAAGAATGGCTGTCATCAAGAAATCACCTAATAGCATATGCTGGTTAGGCTGTGAGGAAAAAGGAACCCTTCTTCACTGGTGATGGGAATGTAGACCAGTACAACCACCATGGAAATTAATGTACTGATACCACCAAAAAACTAGTAACGGAAGTCCTATTCAATCTAGCTATTCCCCTCTGGCTATTTTTCCAGAAGAACTGAAAGCATCATGCACAGTGATATATGTGGACCCATGTTTATAGCAGCCAATTTATAATTCTAAATCTTGGAAATAACCCAGATGCTTATCAACCATGGAATGGATAAAAAAGATGTGTGTTTTTTTTTTTTTAATACAATGGTGTATTACTCATAAAGAAGGATAAACTTGAGACTTTTTATAGGTAAATGGATGGAACTTGAGACCATACTTTTAAGTAAAATAAATCAGACTGGCATGTATATGTATCATACTGTCTCTCTAGTTTAAAAAAAAAAAAAAACTAAATGAGTAAATAAGATTCAAAATGTACAATACGTATTGTGAAAATGAAAGGAAAGGAAATCGATCGAAAGGAAAGAACAACTGGGATAGGAGAAAGGGAAAAACAAAGAAGCAAAAAGATCATGCACTCACATATACAAGATAGATAACAGTACTACTAATCTCTTAGTTCATTCAAAAGAATTCTTTTTACTTAAATTGTTTGACTGATCATTTTTCAATTCTTAATCCTGTAATCAGAACAACTACTTAGAAGACAACATTATGCAGTACATTAGCTAGAGTTAATTTCCTAATGTTTTGTATTGAAATTCTATGTCATTACTTATATTCCATTGTTTTATTTTGTTTTTGTTTTTGTTTAAAAAATTATTGGCCATTGTTCTAGATTCAACAAAGGATTTTTACAGTTGTCTGGCTTAGAGCATAGTAACAGCTTGCAATAAAGTAGTTTATTTGAAACACAAAAACAACAAAAACATAATGAAAGTAGAAGCAAACAAAACAAAACAGAAACAAAAAAATTAAAAAATGCTACTTGGTGTAGGTTACAGAGTTAAAGAACATGGTTTAAAACCCGACTTTAACTGTAGAGACCCTGTTAAGTGCTCCAAATGGAACCTCCTACCACATATGACTGCACATTTCTTCTTTCTTCATCTCATGCTTAATATACATAATTTCTCAGACTTCTCTGTAATTATTTCTACTGTGTTATCTTTCAGGTTTCCTTCATTTTCAAACATATTTTATATGCAAGAGAGAGAGTCCTTAGTCACAAAAAAATCTTAAAGTGTAAGACTTACAAAAATATCTTTTACTTTTTTCAACTCTCATAGAATATGGGCGTTTGACAAGTGGAAATGTTTCCTTTTATTTCATCATAGTTAGAATTATACAGCTCAATATAATAGGGATTCAGAAGAAGGATGACCATGGTGTCACTTACCATCTTTCATCTCTATTATATCTTTATTTCTTCCTCTGTGGCCCCAGTAGACTTTAATGTTGTAGCTGTGAGTGATCTGACTCTGCTGAATTTGGAGTCTCTTTTTCTAAGCCTACCTCTGATTTTATATGTGTCTCTGTCCTTTGTTTTCGTCACTTACTAATTTTGGGGGATATGGTAATTTTTTTCTTTAATCTGATAACTTGATCACTCAGGTTCATAAAGATTAAATCTTCTTTCTTTGAGGACTAAACTAGCTTTCTACTCTTTACAATTTTCATTCACTTTTTCAGTGCTAACGTAGTTACCATGAGTGTTAATTTGTCTTTGGCAAGTCCCACAAAGCCCAAAAACTAAGGGTTTGCTGTTTATTCAAATTTGCTATGAAGAAGTGGTGGGAATATTATGGAATGAAGAGATTTTTATGTCATTAGGGCATGTCTTTGATAATGACTGTCAGAGTGGGTATTTTCCTCTCTTTCTGTGTCCCTTTTCATCAAACACATCTCCAAACACACATCACTAAAGGCACTGAAAACAGATATATAATGTTATCTCTTACATTAGTATGCTACACATTAAGATGTTATTGCAATCAATACTTATTTAGCACATGGATAAGTGTTCTTCAGAGTTAGAGTTTGCACACATGCTTTGAAAAAAATTTAAGAGAATCTATTGTAGAATTTATAGAAAAAGAATATATGATCCAGGCATTTTTACAGTCTAATGAATATATTTATGTCTGCATTTATAAAAGTCTTTCAATTTCACATAAACTTATAAATATTATATATCATATCTTCAGAACTATATACCTACTAACGTATAAGAAAACGGTGCGTTATGATATATACATGTAGAAACAATTCCACTGTGCAAAATGTAACTCAGAAATTGTTCCTTTTTTTCTATGGCAGCCTTACTATTTCAAAGTGACTGTGGGTGGAGATTTGCAATTGATTTGAATTATAAGTATGTGATAAAAAGAAAAGAAAGACAAGTTGATTCTAACTGGAATATTTCTAGACTATGGTATAACCAATGTATCATCAGAGTGATAACTATCAGTAGATTACCATAAGATCAGGTACGATCACTAGAGAAGGAATGAATATCAATTGAGGTTTATAAGTACAAATTAAATGAGGTCCATAATCCACAGCTTCTTTGAGTAGTCAGGGTCTATGGACAAACTTGTAAGTACTCTAAGGCACATTCCCCTCCTAGTTCACAGGTATCATAAGTCCCTGGACTCTTCATTCTTCTCCCTCTGTGGATAATGTACTGACCATACCTGAACAGATGACTCCAACATCTTCTGTGTGCTTGCAGTTGTGTTTCCCCCAACCAGCAGAAGGGCACTCCCCTATGTGGGACTCCTCTCCTGTGCAGTTCACCTCATCCAGCCAGATGGGCTCTGAACCCTCCCCAAAATGAGCAGAAATCAGGAAATTGAGGGCCACTCCACAACCCAGCTGTCTGCACGCCACTTGAGCGTCACTCAGGTCCCAGCTGTCATCACAGATGGTGCCCCAAGAACCCTGGTGAAAGATTTCCACTGTCCCCTCACAGTGACTCTTCGTGTTCACCAGGAGAAGCTTTGGGGTCTCTGAAGAATGAAAGTAAAGCAGATAGTTACATTTCATTTTAAAAAGTAGATTTATAATAGCAAAGAATAAAATCATGATTTTCCCAAGTTGGAGGCAGTAGAGGAGAACACAAATTGAACTATTCACTTCAAATAATATAGAATTTCAGTGACACAGGAGCAGGATTTGAAAAGTTTATTATATAATATAATGACTGTAGGCCATAATGACATAGAAGTTGAAAATTATCCATAGAGTAGACTTAGTTATTCTGACCAGAAATTTTAAGTATATTAGGTAAAGTGAGTGTTAATTATCTCAATTGTGCTCTAATCAAAGTGCTGCCATCCTGTTCAGTATGCATCATTTTCCTGGTAACCCTGTACTCTGTCTCAAACTTTGTCCCTCTATGTGAAAGACAATTGTTCCTGGAATTAGCTGACCGCAAGTTGCCAAGATCCCTAAAAGTGGAGCTTGCAGATCACTAGCTACAAAAATTTCTGTAAAAGCCGCTGACTAAGCAAGGAATTCTGTGCCCAAGCCAAATAAGAGAACAAAAGCCTTCTTCACCCTTATCCCCTACCACCCCCGCATTGCATTTTTTTTTTCCTTCATAAGCCTCCCAAATATCTAACCTAGTTGCATGGTTTGGCAAATCCCAATGCTACTTTGCCACTGGTTACCAGCCTAAATAAAACACACCTTTTTGGATGTCATCTCTTTTTTGGGGTACAAAATTAATGAGTTTGTGTTCCAAAATGTCATGTAGTACAAAATAAATTACATAGTATTCAAATAATTCTACATCCAAATTTACAAATAATTAATTTGAAAAATACATAAAAGGCAAAAATAAGGAAATTCCTTCTGTACAAAACTTTAAATGAACCTGTGGAATGCTAAGTGACATCAATCAGTCTGAGATGAACAAATACTACATAATTCCATTTAAATCTTGCATCTAAGATTGTCCAATTCATACACATCAAACAAGAGAATTATTTGCAGGAGGTAGGAGGAGAAGCAAATGAGCCTCAGTACATACACTGAGTCCCATGCAGGGAGGGAAAAGGCTCTCACAGCAAATTTTAACAACATTCATATTTTAAGTGTGCCACAAATGAAAGATTAAACAGTACTCATATCAGTTGTGAAGTTTGCCTAGGGAAGGACAAAAACAACAGTAGAAATTATTATAGGTAAGCCCTGGTTTGACCAGTCCTGCACTTTTAAACTGCAATTTGCATCCACAAATCCCAAGAGAAATCAACTCCCAAAACAAAGGATGACAATAAGCATGTCTGCAACTCAGGAATATAATCGATGCTTGGTTAATACTCCAAACTCGCTTGCAGAACCTACATATTAAAGGAAGCCAATCTCAGTCATGCATGTCTCCTAAGCATAGTAAGTGATTTATCCTTATGATTCACTCAACTAGGGGGTTTCTCTTTCAGCACTTTGCAGTTGCTGAAATCAAGTTGTGGAACATTTTAGGAAAGAATACCCTCTATGAGCAAGCAGGATCAGAGACTATTGCAATGTTAAAGAAAATATTGCTGCCTAATTACACAGCTCTTGCTGAGCAGAATGCCTTGAACAACTTTTTAACTCAAATTCATGGAAGTAATTATTCAGTCATCCAGAGATACCAGTTTACTGGGGTAAATACCAGCTGGCTTATCCAGATTTATATTGACAGTATATAATGAAGCGTTACGTTAATGAAGAACACATGTAAACCTGAAATGCATGAGTATCTCTACAAAGAAATGAAAATCAATACAAGGATAGAAGAATTACTAAGACTCAAGATGTCATGACCTTCAAAATAAATTAAGAAACCTCTACTAATGGAAGGCTTATAAAATATCAAAGAAAAGATTCAGAATAATTATTTTAAGCTTTTAAATATGTGAACATTAAAGTGTATTAATAATACTGTGAGATATTTCAAAAAGAAATAAATTAATAAATACTAAATGAAATCTTAGATAAAAAATATGTAACAGTCAGTGGGAATTTGCAATAGAATGCTTCCACAGTTGGAATGATCAAACTGAGGAAAGAATCAGAGATTAAAAACAGAACACATGAAATTACCTATTCATTGAAGAAAAAATTAAAAAAAAAAAGAAAAGAAAAACAATGAAGAATTTCTATTGGAATTGAGAGAGACATCATCAGGAAACCTAATATAAGCATAATAAAAACAAGACCAAGAGAAGGAGAAAATGAGCTAGTAAAACTTCCAAAAAGTTTTGAGGAAATTAACTAATGCCTGAAGTAAATTACAGAAGTGGCAAACTGAACTCTTCAAATGGAAGGAAAACACATCTAATGATAATGTGAGATCATTTCATGATATATACACAGGAAAATATATGAAGTGTGCAAACATATCAGAATATTTTATTAGCATAATTATTAACAGTAATAACATGTCCTAATGAGGAAGATTCAAATGTAGAATACATGAAAATAAAAACAAATGTAATCATGTGTTAAGGGATATGAAAAACAAAAAGTGACAAATGGATAAAATAGCATTACTTAGCTATATACTACACAGAAGAGACTTACTTCTCCCCTATAAGGATAAATTGAGTTTGAAAATGAATAAATGAGAAAAAAGATATTACATGAAAATAGAAACCAAAAAAGAGCAGTAGTAGATCACTTATATTAAATAAAATAGATTTAATATGAAAAATCATAAAGAGAGCCATACATGATGGTGATATAATTATAAAAAGGTAGCTATAGCAATAGAAAAATCCATGAATCTGAAGGGGCATAAAAAGCATAGTATACTAGAGCAGGAACTTCAACATACACTTTATGTAATAGATGAAAAAATCAACAAAGAAAAAGCAGATTTAACTTCCACTTTAGATCAAATTCACTTAACAAATACATTAGGAATTTTTCATATAAGAACTGCATTATACACAATTCAGCTGCATCTGATCATCCTTCAAGACATGTCACATATTAAGCCCCCAAATAAGATGAGATATTAAAAAAAATCATAGTTACATCATGTGTCTTTTCTGATCCAGTGATGATAAAATTAGAAATAAATAAATGAAAGGAATTTGGAAACAGCAAAAACATATGGAGATTGAACAATATATTCCTGCCTAATGTGGTAGCATATACCTGTAACCCCAGCATTCAGGATGCGGAGGCAGGTACATTGTACAGAGTTTAAGGTCAGCGTGGAGTCCACAGTGAGGTCAGTGCCAGCCTGAACTACAGAGTGAGATAATATTTCAAAACAAGGTAAGACTAATAAAAAGAAAACAACAACAGCAACAAACCAAATCTAAAATGTTTTCCTGTTTAACCAACAGATCAAAGTAGTACATTAAACGAAACAATTTTTTGCAGATGAAATATTTAAGTGGAAACTACTTTAGCTTGAAGGCTTCTAGAAAAAAGGAGCAAAACTCTAACAAAGATTATGGGAGCCCTCTTTAAAGGAAATAAGAGAAAATAAGAAAAGGGCTTCAGCTACAGGACCTGAAGGCAACAGGCCTGAAGAAAATGACCAGGCACACTCAAAGATAAATTAAAGGAATTAGCCATTGTTAACCTCCTATTATTTCTCTTTGAAATTCTGCATCATAATTTTTATTATTTTCTTTCATTTTAAAATAAACAAAAACAATATACAGGATACAGCATAAATAGTTCTGTGATGGAAGTTTACAGCAATAAACAAAACACCTTCACCAAAAGAAGAAATATCTTATATAATCCATAAATGCATTTCAAAAATCAAAGAGAATAGCTATAGGGGCATCTAAAATAGCAAATTGAACTGAAAATTAACAGAAGAAAACTAAAATAAATGACATATGAAGCAAAATTAAAACACTACCTTTTGGAAAAGATAAAATTAGCAATGTCTTAGCATTGCAAAAAGAAGTCTAGACTAAATATAATCATAGATAAAAATAGAAATAGGGCAACTCATACTTCAGAAATGTAAATAATAAAGGAGGACTCTTAAGAAGAACTTTAGCCAATGAATTAGAAAATGTAAAGAAAAGGAATAAATCCCTGGGTTCAAACACTTATAAATTAGTTGTACAAAGAAAGAGAACCATCTCTGCATTCCTAGAATGAATCCTACTTGGTCATGGTATGTAATCTTCTTGATAATTTCATGCATTCCGTTTGTTAGTATTTTATATAGGATTTTGGCAACACTTTGCTTTTGCTGTTATTTTCTGACTGTTTATTTCTTGAGTTTTTGGTTTCTTTCTCTTTAAGACAAGAGAAAACTTCACAGGGAGAAAGATGGATAATGTAAAAAGCTGGAAACAAGTTGATAGTCTCTAGGGTGTGGAAAAGAAACCTGAAAAAAAATTTTCAAAGAACAAGAAAAGGAGAGTTCCGGGGGGGGGGCACAATAGCAATGATAAAAATCAAAGAGAAACTAAAGAAACTGAAGACAAGGCAGAGAAAAAAAGCAAAGCCTGAAATACTAATTCCGGATAACAGAGAAGAGGACTCTCTGCTAACACAAGGTGAACAATGAGAGTTGGCAGCCACAGTGTTTAAGAAAATGGACCAGTTGTACTAACCCCACAGGTAATAGAAAAAGTTCAATTTATTGTAACCTGCAAATATAGTGTGAATTTGTAATCTGAAATTGACTTTTTCTATGTGGGAGGCTAATGTCAAAGAAGAAATGTATGGGAGGGTCCACAAATTTTAAGTGACATAATCAGGAACTATTTGGAGTAGACACATGTTGTTTAAGATTGAACTATTCTGGGAAACCGAATTCACAGAACAATCCCTATTGAGTATTTTGAAGGCAACCCTGCTTCAGTGACTATAAAGGAGACAACCACAGGAGACAGTCACAGAGATGCAAGGACTACTCATGGTTCTCTGAGAAATTTATGCTCTGCGGAGCTCAGGGTGTGGCAGACATTGTGAGCCTACCTTATACATTAAGAAGCTAGGAATTCTCAGGGAATTTTCTCAGAGACACTCGATTACA